AAAAAAAAAAAAAAAAAAAAAAAAAAAAAAAAATAAATAAATAAATATAATAAATAAAATAAAATTCAGGTAGGGATACACAATAACATAAAGACAGAGTGTCGGCGGGTAGAAGGAAAACGAACAAAAATAAAATAAAATAAAAATAAAATGCAAGCTGTACATACACCCCAAGCTAGAAAGAATAAAAGAAACTAACTGCTGCTATCTGCTGATACAATCTGCTGCTGCTGGCTGCAGCAGCAGGTTGCTGCTGCAGCAGGTTGCTGCAGCAGCAGGTTGCTGCTGCTGCAGCAGGACTGCTGCATGCAAGGACCACTGGCATTGGTAGGTGGGGGGAGGGGTTTAGGATAAATAGGGTTTAGGGTTTTAGGGTTTAGGGTTTAGGGTTTAGGGTTACTTACAGCCACTTGTCTCCTCTGGGGGGACCCCCTCAAAGTACTGCAGGGCGCGCTCAAACAAACCAATTAAATTTTCTTTCTCCTGCAGCCCCAAACGCAGCGCATGCAGCCCCAAATATGTTGCATGCATGCAGCCCCAAACACGGTGCATGCAGCTGCATGCAACACACAGATTAATGCATGCAACGCCAAGAAAGAAAATAAACAAAAGAGACAGAAGAGACAGGCACAGGAGACAAAGGAGACAGACAACAGAGAGAGAAGAGACAGAGAGACAGAAAAGAGACAAAAGAGACAAACAAAAGAGACAGAGAAGAGACAGAAGAGACAAAGGAGACAAACAAAGGAGACAAAAGAAAGAGAAGAGACAAAAGAAAAAAAAAAAATAAAAAAAAAAAAAAAANAAAAAAAAAAAAAAAAAATAAAAAAAAAAAAAAGAAAGAGACAAACAGCTGCAACATTCCTTACCTGCTGTGAATACCTCTTAGGCAGCACCACGCGCTCCAAACCCTAAACACACACAAACCCTAAACCCTAAACCCTAAACCCTAAACCCTAAACCCTAGAAAGAAACTTGAAGATGAAGCTGGCAATACAACAACTCGATAAATATATATGCACCATAAGATATTTTTTTTGTTTTTTTTTTATTTTATACAAAAATAAATAAAAAAATAAAAAAAACAACCAGAAACCCCACCGGCTCAGCAGCAGCAGCAGATAGATGCTGCAGCAGCAGCAGCAGCAGCAGCATGAATATATGAATATATATTTATTTATTATATATACATATTATACAAGTAAATATAAATGTATACATATTTATACACATACACACGAGACATCAAGCTATACAAGCATATGCATGCATGCGCATGCATGCACTCGCCATAGAAGCGGCGTGTATGCAGCAGCAGCAACAGCAGCAGCAGCAGCAGCAGAGTTTGGGGCTGCATGCATGCAGCAGGGCCTCACCCTAAAGTCAAGCGTGACGACATACATGTGGCCGTCTGTTGCAGTGTATGCTGCAAAGCGTGCTGCATGCAAACACAACAAAGCCCCAAACACAGAGCTGCATATACACCCCAACGCATGCTGCATGCAGCCCCAAATGCTAGTCATACTAAACCTGCATGTACACCCCACAGCTGCCTATACACCCCAGAGCTGCCTATACACCGCAGAGCTGCCTATACACCCCAGAGCCGCATATACACCCCAGAGCTGCATATACACCCCAGAGCTGCCTATACACCCCAACCCCTAACTCACGCTTAAACCAACGCGCCTGGCGAGACATCTTCAGGGTCAGCTCCTGCGCAGCAGCAGCAACAGCAGCAGCAGCAGCAGCAACAAAAAAACAGATGCAGCAGAAGCAACACACCTTCAACAGCAGCAGCAGCAGCATCAGCAGCAACAGCAGCACCCATCAGCAGCAGCAGCAACAGCAGCAACAGCAGCAGCAACAGCAGCAGCAGTCCCCAGGCTGCTAAACCCCTGGCTCCAAGTAAACAAGGAAATCTTCTACGTGCTGCAAGCGCTCCTCAAACCCTAAACCCTAAACCCTAAACCCTCGACCTTAAACCCTAAACCCTAGGTATTATACTTTGAGTCCACAACCCTAAACCCTAAACCCTAAACCCTATCTATCATACTTA